ACAACTACCAGCTACCACCCACTACAAAATTAAGACGCCACGTGTACCTGCAAGGAGAAAACGAGTTATGATACACAAAGCTCTGGCCCGGCTTATTGGGGGTTTGTTACTCGGATGCAGCTCTACAACTTGAGGAAGGATACACGACTGGGACGTGGAATGAGAAAGGGAAGAGATTGCTCATGCGCATAATAAGATGACGCTTTCAGGGCGATGTAGACTATGGATTAGTTTTGGGCGCTATCTGAAATATCGCGCAATGAAATGGGCGCGATATTACTGGAACAAAAGAAGATGACTAGAAGTGTAGGATGTTCGGATTACAGTTAAAGGTGTGGGAAGCGTGCGCTACAAGTATGTGTGTGTGTGGCTGTTTTTATTGTACTACTTGAGTCTATGACTATTTAGCACACTGGGCTCCTCTCTGACCCAGGCCACGCCTTGTACAGTGCTCCAATCCTCTTTTGTTACTTGAAAGATCATTGATATATTCCCCTTTGTGAATAGCCATTCAGCTCAGTATTTAACCGCGGAACCTTCTATCCAAAAAAATAAAATGGTAGCATTGGAAACTGCGTGCGCGGGAAAAGGTCTCAAAAAAGCTGCAGGCCCAGCCAGGCGAGGCCTAGACACTGGGACCACATGAGGTGCACATATTCATCTATATCTCCCTTCGTTGTAACAGTCGAGGCCGACTTGATCCAATCCACCATCTCCGTATCGGGTGCTGGGTACGCTCCGGAAACTCATCGGATGGCTTTTCCTCCCTGGTCAAGGGTCGGTGATGAGTAGGGCTCTGACCCTACCATTTGATCTGATCGTGGTTAGCTTCATGATGGTGGTGATAGGGGAATGTGTTGAGAGATGAAGACGATACAGACGGCGAAAGCGATTGGAATCCTCGTCGAAGTGAGGACTTTGTTACTCATTCTTGGCTCTGCAGACTCTACAGTGAGAGCTGGAGGTTCGTAGGGGATACCACTGACAGATGATGAGAATAGCCCCCCTGTGCGCTACAAGTACAAGTGTGAGCGACACATAGCCTTATTGATTGTGGCGCCATCTAGGCATAGAAATGCCCCATTAACCTCCTTGTGCCCACGCCAAACAACTCGTGTACTCATTTTGTATCCTGAAGCGCTGCCAAATGACTCGCTCCAACCTCTTAAATACACACACCATCGTGTCGGGAACCTAGACGATAGGAGGGCCGGTGCGCCCACAACACTCTGTGCCTCCATTTCCAACAGGTGCCAAAACGACGGTTTCAGATGATTAGTCAGCAGGGCTTCTATTGTCCCTGAGTCAACGGCACTCCCCAGGACCCTGGGCCGCTCAATGGAGTTGCGCTAAGCTTCAATATAGCAATCACGCTCTGTCAAGACCCTCTGACATTTGAGCTCGAACTTTATTAGTTGAAGGGAGGCTAGCGGGGCAGCGGGTGAATTTTGCGAGGTACTGTCAGACCCCTGTTAAGACGATATTTTTTCCACAACGGACTTCGTTCCCACTCATTCACCGATTACACGATTATCGTTCTTCAACCTCTGAATATCGTCTGGACCAGGGTTTTTCTACTAGATTGGTGCTAAAAATGCCGCCTAAAGAGGGAATTTCTGTAGAGCATCGATATTCTCTGTACGACGATACTTTTCATGGCCCCGATTCCATCGTCTTAACAGGGGTTTGACTGTGCCATCAAGCCTGCAGCGCCCGGTGGGTTTTGCCACTTCTCCAGGCTGCCATACACCCGCAAACGGCCATCGTTTCGTTGGCTGTAGAGGGAGTTTAATGAACGGCAAGGGAGGGCATATACTACTGGTATAGTTACCCTTGGCCTCTAGCCAGAGAGGCCCTGCATATCCCACATAGTCATAGATGGAGAAATGACAAACAAACAAACAAACACAACGATTGATCGAACATGTATGTCTGGATGATCATGCTTCCATCCCAAACACAACGCACCTCGTGTCGCTGCGAAAGCGGCCGAGAGATGAGACTCGCGCGACGCAAAGCTGGAAGGCAGATTTTCCAGATCGACGCAAGAGGTATCGGGACAATCGTCCGAGATGATGCAAAGGGTGGATGCCGTCGCAAGAGGGGGCCAAACTTCGATTGACTACGTTGATTCCTCGGCATGGAAGTGCCTCGCACGTGCCACGTCCTGGCTGGAAAGTTTGACCCAACACCGTTCCGCCTCGTTCTGCAAATAATGTCGGCAGAGCTTGGATATCCATCCCATCCGAGATCTGTCATGGCCATTCGAAGCCGGCGAAACGCGACCATTTTCCTCCCGCGCGCAAGGGCGACGGTTAGTTGGGAGCAATTGTAGAAGCATTCGGGTAGGGATTCTGGTTAGTGCCTTAGGCAGGATTCATGGGCTCCTTGTTTAGTCCCACTAGGCTTGACGGCTTAGCGAGGACATTTATGCAGTTTTTATCTCCGAGACTGAGTTCCGCATGTTCGCTCGATTGATTCACATTCAAGTCTCTACTGGACCCTGGACTGTGAGAGGCTACTTGAAGATCTACCTAAATAGCTCATTAATTTACAGGTTAATTTTGATTCGAATGTTACAATTAAATGCCAGTTGATCGTCGGGGTCATGCCCTAAATTTCTTCATGCTTTGTTTTCTGTCTTTTGGAATAGCGACACAATTCTAATCACATCTCCATCTCGTCCTCTGCCAACCATAGTGGCCTATCGTCACCTGCGGCCACTTTATCCAAAACGACTCCCCGCCCTCCCATCCACCACTTCTCTAGAAAGCCTTCCGCGTTCCCATGAGGCGTCCTTAGTACCTCGCACGATACGCCCTCTCCTACGCCCCGAGTCTGGCGCCTGACAATTCGAAAAGGAAACCAGATTATGAGAATTTTCTGGTCACCATACATCTACAAAGAATACCTCTCTCGAATCAGAGATAGAAGTGTGCACACACAATAAATAATTTGTAAAATACAGCTTGGCCTGGCCCGCTCTACAGTAGACAATATTCGCCAAAAATTTTCTGGCATTTCAATGAAGCCTTTGACTTATCCCAAGCCGCCTGTAATGCATGGTGTTGAAGTTAAGAATAGCCACCAGCAATTTCGACTGAAAAATAAGCCTGGCCAACATCAGGTATTGGACTCATGTTTACCGGCTCTTTGTTTCGATCTGCGCGAGTAATCTTTGTTTGGAAGCGGGCGTTTTCTTTACCCAGCGCATCTGTAAATTTAGAGCCACAGAGATTGTGTCAATGATATTAGGTGTGTATAATTAGAGCTCGATTCCAGATGAAAATAATAAGTCTTTGTCTACTAAGTTATCGATGCCCAAAAGACGTCTTAAACTACCACACACACAGGTACACAAGTTTCCTGACAAAGGGAGATCAGGAAGGCAGATAATTATTCTCCGAGGTACTAGCCTGCAGTACTCGGCAGGTAGTCCTCTCCCATCGCGGTAGAAGAATCTCTGTGAATTCAGATTGCATCAGTCTAAGCTACTAAGAGAGCTATGCACTAAGTGATTTTTGCATGTCTTCCCGTCAGTAAATATGCTTTATTTGTTTGATGTTTGTGTAGTATGTGGATCTGTGCGCTCTAGTAGTACCATAATATCGTGGACTTCCTATTAGAGGAGGGGGAGAAGACAGAGAGAGATAGATACAATCATTGTTATCCACTAGTTACAACGTGAATCTTTTCAACCACTTCCCCACTACCATCGCCTGCCAATGACCTCTGTTTCGTCGCTTTCGCGGGGTACATGGTAAATAGAAGAATCCTCGCAATGCCTTACAGACAGTCGAAAAGTAAAGAATTAGATTAACAAAACTGAGTTGTTGAGGAAGTTGATAAGATAATATACTGTCCGAGGAATAGGTGTGCTTGGCCTGAAGCCGCATGTATGATTGATTGTGCTACTTGAGCCTGTGACTATCTAGTAAATTGAGCTGCTCTCTAGCCCAGGCCATATATCCATCTATATCTCCCCTCTTCGTAACATTAGTGGCAAATTTGGTCCCATCTACCATCGTCGAATCGGGTCTTGGGTACGCTCCGAAAAATCATCGGATGGCCTTCCATGGCCAAAGATAAGTGACGAGTGAGACCCTGACCCTAACATCTGATTTGATCGTGGTTAGCTTCATAATTATGGTGATATGGGTATGTGTTGAGAGATGAAGACGATGTAGACGGTAAAAGCAATTGGAAATCCTCATCGAATTGAGAACGAAGGTGTTTCTCAATCTTGGCTCTGCAGATTATACATTGTGAGCTGCAGGTTCGTGAGGTACACCGCTGAAAGACATTGAGTTTTGTCCCGTCCTTGGCTAACAGGCTGGGGCAAACTATTTTTCTACCTTCGAACATTGATAGCGGACAAGATTTGTTCCTTTAATCAGAGGTCATGTGTGATGTACCTGCAGGTTATCAGACGCTCAAATACAAGGGTTGGTAATATTTACACCAATGAACTACTTCTGTGAAGCACAGCAAATGAGAATTGCCACTACTGTGTCTAGGTCGTCAGTGATGACGTATGTGTAATCCAGTACTGTGTTGTCTAGTCAACAATCAGTTAGAAGTCTTATCAACAATTGGGGCAAGGCGCGATCACTGGACTCATGGGGCTGCATCCAGACTGTGTAAATATTGTCTTAAAGACGGGACGATGCGTGATGGGAACAGGGAAATATGTCTGACTACAAGCCATCGATCATCTCACGTTACAAGACCATCGTACACGGCACTAGGCTACATGGTTTAAACCGAGCGGAAATTCTCTCGACGCCACTACGGCTCCCGCAGAGAGACGGTGAGGAAACACGGACCTTGGATTCGATCGACACAAAACGACAAGCACATCGTCTCGTTTCTCTCGAGCTAATTAATACGTCCATGTCCGCCTTTCATTGCTTATTAATATAGTAAAAGTTGTGGGCCAGTTAGTTGAAGCAACTGCTCCATCCAGAACGTATGAATTTCCCAGCCCCATGGGATGTGAGCTATTGCCTTGCAATACATGCTGGGATAAGAAGCTCATCAGTATCTCTGGTGAAATCGAGTGACTTATCGCCTCTTCGTCGTCTCTCCTGGATAGTACCGGCACTCAAAGTTGAAGCCCAGACTTGTGTCCACCCTTGTTCCACACTAGCTGCCTCGACACCGGCCACATCAGTCATCTGAGGAATTTGTTCTGTGGAAGTGTAATTCTGACTGCCGAGTATTTCTGAACCCCCGGGATCGGGTATAGCCGTTACCTTTAGCCTACGGTTGAAGTCATGCTGTTGGAAGCAGGCACAGGATACGGCACGAAATGTAAGGGTTAAGAGGGCAGATGATGCGGGTGCATTGTGGAACAGGCAGGTTGGATATCGGGTTCGCGATTCAAGTACAACCGCTAGAAGGAGTTGGGTGCAGGTCCAATCGTTATCAATCACATCGGAGTACGACTCGATGCAAGCGGATCTACGTCGACGATGGCCTCTTCCCGTTCTCCCGCCGGCTCCTCACATGGGGCGCCTCCAGGGTCATGTGGACTCATGTTACTTGTATCTCTCATCATATGTGTTCGAGTGATAGGATGCTTAGAATTTAAACCCTAGCATTAATATGGCAGTTTACGACTCTTCATATTCAACGTGCGGCTGTCTGTCGGCATTCTTGGGGTGCGCTCTTGTCCCTTCCATGCCTTTCCCTTCCGCTGACATGAAATAAGTGGGTTTTGATGAAAGAAGCATATGCGGTGCATTCTATTCGAGTCACGGCTCGCTTCCAAACAATTTCAGCAACTTATTTAGAAAGCAGTGTGGAGAGCATGGGCCAAGCCGCAGGTTATTTGGAATTTGCCAAGCGCGAGTCTTTGTGGCCTCGTCATTGTGCTAAGTTAGCGTCGCAGATATCGGAGACACCTTGACTATGCGCTGACATTGACGTTCCCATCGTTCGTTGATGTGAGTATACCTCCGATTCGGGGAAGTCAAGAGATCACATGGCGACGTAATTTTCCCCACTAGATTGGGAAAGTTGATGGTAAGGACAATCTGACGAGCGTTGAAGAGTCATGCTAGGACGTCGAGCAAATTGCGTTGCCGGATAGTTGGCCTTGCAGTAGCTCGCAACCGCATGGTTGTGTGTAAGCTGATGATCGATTAGCATGGCTCTGATATGCCGCTCCTGCTGCACCAAAAGGCACAACTTACTTATCCAAAGAATTTACCTTTATTTTCCGGGTATCTCTCCACTCGGGGAAGACTTCCCGAAAAACCTTGTTGCGCAGCTTGCGACCAGGCAAATTGAAAGAAGAGATATGTACGTGTCATGAACAGTCCAAAGGATCGGCGAGTAGCACCCATACACTGCCGCACCAGCTACAAAACGATGATAAACGATAATTTTGGTCTGTAGCACAACTTTCCTCCAACTTCGTAGCCAATGACTCATCCTCTTTGTTTGGAACAGGCCTGTGCACGTGCTGTCTAGTCTGCCCCACCAGCCCTGTCATCTTCTACCCGACGCACCCGATTGGTTTTGAAAATAGCGGAGGATGATCTTGCATACAGACGCAACGGTATTAAGGATTCGAGAATATTGCTTCTCACCCCAACGCCGGTCACTGAGAAGTTGTGGGTATCGGCGTTACGGGGGCATTCTGAAGCCTGATGATGGAAGATTTGCGCGAAACCTTCTGTACTGCCATGTCAGTTCTAGAGAGGGGGCGCATCGTGAGACATGAAACATAGAATTCGGAGTAAATAAGCATGCAGATTTTGGAACTAGAGACGAGCGTCATGATGGTGGCGGAATACGGCTGAGATCGCTTGCACATCAAAAAATAAGTGGCAGTGGTACAGCCGGATGTATAGGAGGGCAAGATAGGCGCCATTCATCACGGCCACAGGGGAGTGGAGTGGATATGCCTCAGTTAGGGATCAGCGCTCTGTGTTTCTCGAGGCAGCAACATCATGTGATGCTAAGATCACGGACTCACCCATAAAACTCTCCAGCACCATCCATGCGCTACTGCATTCGAACGGATAATACCCGTGCCTCAGCCAGAGGGGGAGTAAGGATGAGGAGTGGGATTGAAGGTCTGAGTCACCAGGATGAGATGGATCGCTCTCAGAAAGCTGATAGGCGTCGTGGGAAGAGGAGGGACTGATAGGTTTACAAAGCGAATCAACCCAATGGCTAATGGTGTGGCAGGAGGAACAGCGTGGCCGAAAACTTAATGGAAATGTGCGCGAAACCACAAGCGAGTAAGCGAGAGGTGACACATCCCTCGCCAAGCCCTAAACACACACAAACACACAGTATCTATCTCGTCTGTACTCTCATTGCTGCCGGGCTGGCTAAGATTCACGCACTTGGCCCACCACCCCACATAGTGCATTCCTGCCCCTCTCCGGACCAGCCATCAGCGCAAGGCTAGGCCATCTTTCTATCATGGTCTCGTGATGCCCAGTAATTCCACGGCTAGTGCTCGTTTTACACAAACGGCAACGCCTCCGTGTGCATCCGGCCACCCTCGGTGTCTTCACGCCGTGTGTGATGCTGGAACCCGATGCTGCTATGTGCAGACGAAATACCTTGCAACTAGTTTCCGTCGTCCGCTTTTCCCACAGAAAGGATGCTCCGCCGGGGGGCCATTTGCATGTAGGTATGAAAGATCATCTCTGGAATCCTACACCCGTGTGCCGGCGGGGAGAAGTGGAGAATTGGCGCGCGCGTCAAGTGTACGACAGGTCACGTCAGATGATAAAGAGAGGAGAGAGATCATGTGATAGGCCGGTTTCGAATTAGGGGAAGGGAGACAAAGCAAAGGTTAGCGGCTTGCCACCGCCACAAACCTGTGTCGGCGTTCGCGGCGAGTCATGTTCCGCCCCGCCCCGTGCAGCCTTCCTGCAACTCACTCACCAACCCTCTCGATGTGCTGGGTGCTTGCTGGGACTCATGGTCGTTTCTGTCTCGATACCCGTCCAGCTCACTACTCCCCATCGAGCAGCTGAGGCGTTTAGGCAGACAGGGCAGGAATCAACCAGTCAGCCATTTTCCCCATCACCAGATTCACCGATCCTTCCCCCTGGCTCAGCCTTCCTTGCATTCTCCCTACAAGAGTCAGCGCATGACTTGATCCTCGTGATAGCTACACACTCTGTTACCCTCAATCTCTCAAAGTCCCTCCACCTCCCACCCCTCGCCTTCATTCGCCATCCAGGCTGACCACAACATCCGTCGTTCCGCCCCAAACTCAATTCATGCTGTGTGCACTGTTCCGCCCATTCGACCTCCACGGCCTAGACAGCAAACCTCCTGACCTTCTGTCTCTCGTGGAGGTCATCAGCAACCGCCGTCCCCGACATGCCTCGGTTCCCCTCTTCGCTCTGTCCACACCCACCTACCAGCTAAATCCACTAATCCACGCACACGCCCCAATTAAGTCAGGAGAAGCACTGACCACGCCCCATCCTAGTGTTAAAATCTGTGCTAAAGCAGGAAAACAAAGGATCCAGGGCTACGGCCGACCTGGGCCGGCTCGACGTATAGTCAAGCTAGTGTCGCCCGATTGCCCTCTCGAGCTCTCGTCCCGACCTTCAACCTTGCCCTAACCAGACAACACCACCCCTCCCCCCACACCTGATTTTCAAGATACAAAGCAATCTGCTATCCCTCCGCCCATAACAGACTAAATCGCCAATTCATTTATCGAATCGCCGCTGTCAGGATCCCCGCTGCCTCAACCTGACCATCAAAGTTGCCATAGTTAGTGACGTGTACCAACACTACAACTTTGACTACGCTTACGGTCTGGCACCCTTTCGACTCTATCCGCATTCCCTCCACCTCGCACTTGCATCTGAACTGATCCAGAGCCCTTGAGAATCCTCCAGAGGATTCAAGGTAGCTCAGAGCATCATGCCTATTCCGCTCGACGCTCCGGTATTAATGGTTGATGTGGCCTCTATACACCTTGTCGATACGCGAAATGTGGAAAGCCTACATAGTATGTGGACAGGTGTGTAATAATTTTCCCCAACCTAAAATTTCCCAAATTCTAAATTTAACGCAGTATTTTCTCGCTGTGCCCAATCGCTTGAAGATGGTAGAAGATTAGAAAATCTAAGTTGGAGACTCTGGAATCAGGAAACATTTTGCCGGGAATCTACTGCCGATATGGTTAAGATGGTCGCCGCCACTACTACACATAGCAGCGAAGTTACTTCCCCGACGCCGCGACACATCACCTCCACTAACCTCGAGAAAATGGTGATGACAATCAAGGAAAGAAAGAGTATTCAGCCGCTTTCATTCAAACCAAAACCTATCATTGCCCCGCCAACCCCAGCAAAATCTCCTCAACTTGTTGTCCCTCCTCACAGACCAACAATCGAAAAAAGCAGCCACAGCACAACGAGTGTGGTTCGAGGCTTCTCTCCAGTTATGATAAAATCGCCTTCTCACTACATCTCGGGTCCATCGTCTATCCCTACGGCCGATATATCTGCAGCTGCTCCCAGTCAGGCAAGCCAGCAGAAAAAAAGAACGATTTTCGCGTTGGGAGGATCTTCTGGCGATGATTCATGCGAGCCGATCCTCTCAACCAGGGATCTAACATTAGAACAACCCTCGCAAGGACAACAGAAAAAGAAGAACGCCGTCTTTAGCTTTGGAAGCTCGTCGCACGAGGACGAAGGACCCTTGATGCCAGTGCAGGAAGACGCATTACCAAAAATCCCATCAATCCGGAAATCTACTACCTTTCAGGAGGAGGTCGCACGTCGCACCATTCGTGAGGAGACTCTGGATGATAATGTTTTTGAGTCAGATGATGACTTGGATGAAAGCGCTATTGATGACGAAGATGATTCATCTGATTGGGAAGATTCAGTGGAGGGAAGTGGTGAGGCGAGCGCAGACGAAAAGAACCTATTCCGCCGCGTTGACTCTAGGCCAAATCTCACCAGTCGTCGCTCCTTAATTACTACCATGCTTCATCAGCATGATAGAAGAGAAGGCCTGGTAAACGCAGCTATAAACTCGAACTCGAAATCGTCATCCACTCTACACCATGGTCAATCCGAAACTACACGTATATCCCCTCTAGCAGCGTCACCAGATCAAGCACTTCGAGCTATAGCTGAAGTTCCCCGATCCATGGCACGACCGATTGTCCGCCCGCCAAACCACCCCCAACAACTTGCTCTTTCGCCTCGTACCACCCGTCGTAACATGCTTGCCTCTGAACTAACAGTTAGCCTCAGGCAACATCTATTATGGGAACGAAAGCAAAAGTCTCAGACTGCTAACGCCGTCCTCAAACGTCGTCATACGGCTCAGGATGTAGTGCAATTGAGACAGTTTCCGGAAGCCGTCTGCTTTGGTCCCGACGAAGGCAAGGGTAGTTGGGACAGTGAGATGTATGGTGGTGGCCTTGGTGAATACAATTCCCGAGGATGGTAGCCTGGTGCTTTCTTCCTTGGATTCATATCTGCTCAAAGTGTCTAGTCCTACCTTTCTAGACTGGTTACAGCAATATTCCTAACAAACTTGCTAATAGTCATGCGTTTAGCGGGTACATAAGGGGGTGGTGGCGTTAATAGAAATTTTGAAATACTTTACTCGAATCCACATGAATGGTAGGCTTTTGGTGCGGCTACTCCCGGTAGCAGCGGCGTTTGGGCGTTCGGATGAGCACGGAAAATATGACGCGTGCCATGAGGAGTAAATTTGGGTGGGATTTGATGAAAGGATTGGGCGCTTGTTGAAGATTTCTTTAGGAAACCAGACACATTCCAAAGGGATTAAAAACAGAATGTGGCGTCCTTGGCATTGATTGTAGAAGATAGGTTGGGCCAGGTCAGCTACCCAACGATGGAATATACGCACATGAATATGGGCTGCCATTTCGGCTTCAGGATATACTACAGGTTGGGCTTCGTCAGAAATACCAACAGAGATAATCTTGACTTAATCCAAATTCCCGCAGTTCCATATCACTATGGGGTATTCGCATCCCGCTCAGCATAGTTACATGATATTTCCCGTAGCCCAAGTCCACAAGCGAGCAGGACCCACAGCTAGGAAAAAGCGCTTAGACGAATGAAACTTCGAACGTATCTTGATGGATTTGCAAGCAAGGCCGGGGCTGTTAGCTTTCTTATGGTCGCGTGTTTTCGGGCGCAAAACGTTTGGCACCTGGAGCAGGGCGCTTGCTAGCGAACGGAAGTATGAATACTAACTGGGCATCGCGTTGTACGGTGTGGTAGGGGTAACGGCCTATGACAGAAGCCATCCATACATTCAGGCGCGAGACTCCATGCTAATCCTTTGCCTATAACTTGGCGGTCTCCCGTTCCACGCGCGCGTCGACGCTCGGAGCGGGTCGATTGATTCGCTTCAACACCAACGCGCCAGGGAGATCTCATCACAGGACGCGCTGACATGAAAGGGACTAGTCCCGAACCCGCAAGCCCGTCACTCGGTGCACATGATTCCAGCTACTCCATCTGCGTTTAAGAACGTAGACGTCGTGCAGCAGCTGAACCCCCTAATATCGAACTGTTGTGACGATGAAAGGTTCATCAATGAAAGGAGGCTATTGATAGCAGCGCACATTATACGCTTTTAGATGGGGCTTGAATCGGGCTAGATGATACGACGCATGAAATCAAAAGTATTTCGCCTGCTGGGCCTCGTCCAAGCCTAGTTTCTAGGTGTGCATGTCTGAATTGCAGGTGCTTGCCGCTCTCTGCTCAGGGTTGCGGGTCCGTCTCAGCCTGATCTTTCCCTCTAGATCTGTTTGGGAGAGATTCATGTGGTGGCACTCGGATCCCCGACGATGAACTCGAGACCAATCGGTTACTAGCCTGCCACCTGCCACTCAGCTAGATGGTCCACTGGTAAAATGTCCGAGTCAGTCCCAGCTGTATCTTTTGACGTAACTGCATGCGGGAAAACGAAGCTACGCTTGACTAAATAAACTCTTTGAAACTTCCATACGTTAAATAGATATAGGTTTGAGTTGAACGAATCAAAATCAAATTTAGATTATGACAAGGTATATGGAAATTTGATTTGTAACTGAAGTCCTCAACACCAAGAAAACAATTAATCGTGCACAAAGCTGTCTTGAGTTTGAATTTGAAATTGAAATCTTTTACGTGACAGGAAGAACCTAACATCTTTTTTTTTTTTTTTTTTTGCATCAGATTTTAATTGCGTATGCAGCTATCTAGCTATGACACAATATCAAAGAAAAGTATAGAATAGATGATTCAATTCAAAAGTAGAGCACTCAAGCCTCAGATTTCATTTGCAAGTACCACTGCGAAGTTATGGCGGCTTTTTCTTCACCCCAAGTCAACCCTCATCCGTGAATACCCACCCAGGGGAACATCTCAAAAACCCTGAGTTATCCAGACATGCCTCCATCATCTTTCAACTTTTCTCCGCGCGAAATATGGTCTGAGATATCTCCTTCCCAAATGGAGTAGGTGCTCAGGCTACTCAAACTATACCGGAGAACACCACCAGGAGGCGGACCACAACACCTTCCATCGTTTGCTTGTTTTTATAGTGTCAACTGCACTCTCGCAAGCGAAGTCTTGGCGCGCACAAAGCCCAATTCGAAAAACTCCTTACCAAAATTCGGAGTCTCATGCCCTTCGAAGTTATATCCTTCCTCTGTATCATCTTGTCAACTTGTCCTAATCCCTCTCACGTCCATTCCAAAGAACTGTCTCCCAGATTTGTGCGCCACGCTTTGCTTCCTCCATCGGGTATAAATATCGGCGTGGGCGTGTATTTGGTGACCAGCTGAGGCCAGAGAAGGTCGAAGAGTGGTGTGGTCATTGGAATGAGGATGTACTTGGTCGTACTTGTAGACTCGATGAGACGAAGATAGGGGTCAAACTTGTTGGGAGCGAAATAACGAAGTGGATGAGTAATTTGGATTTTTGCCCCGTGGGCCAACTTCTTTGATATTGCGAAATTTGACTGAACTTGGCTCTGGGAGAATATTTCACTCCCAGGTTCGTAGAGGACACCGCGTACAGGTGTTCAGTCTTGCCCTCCGAACCTAACATCTATTTAGACGTGACACGGGTAGATGGGCTCTGAAAGCTCATTGCTACCTACATGACCGGCAATGGAGCCAGAAGCGACAAAAGAAAAGAGTGAAAAAAAAAAAAAAAGAACAGTATGTGTCTGAGTTACGGTGCCCTGCGCCGCATCCCTATCTTCCACACCCATCTACTCTCGGGTCAGAAACAATCTCAGCGTGGTCACCTCCCTCCCTGTTCATTCTTCGGCAGACTGTAACATCGGCTTGTAGTTGAGAATCGAATGAACTTCTGCCATCCCTTCTCCCCTATCATTTCCCTGGCCCCAGGTGGGGCCATTTTCTCATAGATTCTCCAACGTAGCAAAGCAGGTCGGCACTCTGAAAAATGCCAGGGCCTTTTCTCTCGGCCGCAAACGCATTTCAGATCTTCATGTTCGGGGTTGAAACGTCGATGGTAGTCGGCATAGTCCCCGTGGCCTGTTCTTGCCGCAATAAGACGATGGTACGCCCATCTTGGTAAAGCTAGTTCCGGTGGTCTTTTGCAACGCATGAATAGGTCCAGATCTTTGTATCGTTTCGGTCGATACTTCTGCCACCACTCTTCCACGAGCTCTTGGCTACGCTATTTAACCTACCTCCCTAATGCCGCAAATGTTAGATCTTGATCTTCTAGAATGGGCGCAGCTGAGGTTAGTGACCGGTTATTGGAAGCTCCCAAGGCTGATTTGGCCAGCATATCGGCCTCTTCATTGCCTTGAATCCAAAGCTGTCTTGAGGTAACATTAACTTATTTTTATCGTCTACCGGGCGAAAGCGAACGCTATTGCCCCATCCCACGGGGGACATGATGTCTATCGTTTTTTTTAATTCATTTTGTATTCAGCTATTTATTTATGACAATTTATCTAACATTAACACTAAGTAATCAAACTCCCCTGAATATTCTTTCCCATCTTTGTTGTTCCATATATCTGCTCAATGTCTCTATCGTTTGTTTGTTTTCTACTCTACGTCTAACTAATGACAACATACATAGTCTCCAATAGGGGAAAGGACGCCAAAGCTTACAGCTCTGGGGGCCTAAGACACCCGACTTTCCCAAACTAAAGAAGGAGCATTAATTGAAATGCAGTGTCGGGTAACCTAAACAATTATCTTGTCTACGAGAATTTCGACACTTAAAGGAGATCAGCAGCAATGTGGGAGGGAAGCAAAAACATGGTTGTTGAGCGGATAGGTTTGCAAAAGCTGAAGGCTGTTGGGCATAGATTATACCACTTCGTGAAGCGAGGGAGAAAGTAGAGGATTCTATAAATCTGACGTGGAGAGTCGTTAATTACTCCCACCAGGAGACAGAGTGCTATATAAACCATATTCTGTCTGACAAGGGCCCAAAGCAGTTTGGCAATGCAAATACGAAGTGAGCACATGGGGCTTAACTCGTATTTACACAGAAGTAGCCGGAGTATCAAGTCCCGATTGTCCATGTGGCTGCCAATCACAGAACCCCAAGCATTTGATGATGTCCTGCCTTCGATGGTCAAATGGTAGAGCTGAGATCTGGAGACCAGCCAAAGATCGGTCCTACGAAGCGATGAAAACAATCCTGGAGACATGAAAAGGATAACACAGTGGGTCCTAAACCATGGTTGGATAGAGCAATTCCAGATGAAAAAGGCGGTCGCAGTGCTGCTGAAGGAAAGGAAAAGGTCAAATAATGCTTGGGGCGAATAGAGATGATCTGGTTGGTTTACATGGATGGCACTATAGTGTAACTGCGCTTCCTGAAGAAAATATGTGAGAACTGTAGACAACAAGTAGGAAGGCGTGGGAGGTTTACACCATGAAGGTTTCCTCCCGGGTAAATATTATAGATTGTAGACACCTGCATGGGCCCATAGGGCGCCAAATCAGGATAATGAAATCAAATTCGAACCATATTCTGTGATAAGAAAATCTAGTGGTTGGTATTTACGTCAAAGCGCATTAATACTATTTTTTTTGCATCAGATTTTAATTGCGTATGCAGCTATCTAGCTATGACACAATATCGGAGAAAACGTACAGAAAAGATGACTCAATTTGCAAGAAGAGCACGCATGACTCGGATTTCATTTGCAAGTACCACTGCGAAGTTATGGCGGCCTTTTCTTCACCCCAAGTAAACCCTCATCTGTGAATACCCACTCAGGGGAACGTCTCAAAAACCCAGAGTTATCCAGACATGCCACCATCATCCACTGACTTGTCTCCGCGCCAAATGTGATCTTGGGCGTCTCCTTCCCAAGTAAAGTAGGTGCCCAGGCTACTCAAACTATACCGAAGAACACCACGCATTAATAATAACCTCACAATTGATGGAAGATTAGTTACGTGTATTCTACACATCCCTGTCTTT